CAATTTTATTTTCGGATTTTTCAAAGTGGGCTGCAAATAATCTGAAACCATCTCCGAAAACGCGTTATGCGCATGCGTTCCTACTGCTTAATTTTCTCCTTGTAGGAACACTATCACAGAACGCTATTTCCGTTCTCCTCTATGTTTAAGTTCTGTGGGTACAACTAACAGAGTGACTTTCGAAACTTGTCATAGAACAGAAACACAGAATACTAAGCAGAACGAGATAAGTCATTGTAGAAAAGGAAAACCCACTCCGGAGAACCGTCACTAATCGTTTAGTTGATAGTCTATATCTATATACAAAAGTTCAGTCATTTTTCGAATAGGTTATATTTCAGTTTTTCCGTCATTACTACTTGATGAAGACGATAATAATTAATAAGTTAATATTCATATTTTGTATTTACGCTCCATCATCCTAGCAAGCACCAAAGCCGCATTACCTCAAAAAAAGGTCATTCTGAAAAATATGCATTGAGTGCAATTCTAATTGAATTAGTGACCCAATGAAACATATAAACAGACAGTCATTTTACCAATGCAACATAAAATGTGCACTCGCCTGACATAGGTTTCATCAATGGAAAACGTAGTGATATCAGTGTTGCCCTTTCAGTACTGTTGTACTAAATTCAGGACATTTGGGACCTTAAAATATTTTTAGTACGCCGATTATCAGATCATTCTAACTAGATATATCAGATTTTCACCTTTTGATTTGCTTGACATATGTGTTATTTTCGATATGAAGCCATCCATACATAGTCATTTTCATAAAACAAAACTGATTGCTAACACATTTCCATGTCAATTGTCACTTTGTCTTTGGTTTCCACTCTTGTCATATGTCATCCACTTATTTATTTTCATTGTTGAAAGGGGATTTAAAATTGAAAAACTTTAATGTTTTTTACCACTGTTTTTTACCACTGTTATTTGTAACTAACGTTGCTGTAGTTTCGTCCTATACGGACATTTTCAAACTTACACAATAAAATTCATTGTATAAGTTTGAAAACTTACCCATACCCTTGCTATAGTTACAGTTTTTTAATAAATTGATAGATGTAGCCGTTACTACGTGGTAGGAAATCATAATGAAGAAAAGAGAAATGAAGCTTTCTATGTTTTTTACCACTTTTATTTGTAACTAACGTTACTGCAGTTTCGTCCTATACATACTTTGAAGACTCTTGATATGGCATTGGAAGCTGGATATCGTCTATTTGGTAAGGCGTCGATCACACCTATGAAGTATTTTCACAGACATTTATCTGGACAGGTTTGATCAGCTCTAAAAGAGGATTAACTATATATCTGTTGTTCTGTACTAATTCAATGATAGACCATATTTATCTCGATAGTTTCATAAAGACGATCGAAACAATATGTGTTTTTCCTCAAATGTACCAATTAAACTATGTCGAAAAGGGCAAAGCTATCAACATAAAAATAGTCATGGATTGTTTTAGATACTGCTGCAATGTACAATAATGAAGGGGATATTGGAGATGCATTGAAGGAACTTTTACCAAGACATAATTTATCTCGAAAAGATATTTTCATCACAACCAAACTATGTAAGTGTGCCTTTCCTGAGTAACGCTTCAATATAACTCAAAAACTCTGCCCTAGACCCTGAGGATCATGGCAAGGCTGATAAGGCAATAGAATCGTCTTTAAAAAAACTGGACTGTGACTACATTGATCTCTATTTGATACATTGGCCAGGCACTTATGGAAAATCTGAACATGCAAAAATGCGAAGCAAGAGTTGGGAACAAATGGTTGAATGTGTGAAGAAAGGTTTTGTGAGAAATATTGGAGTTTCCAATTATACAGTTCGCCATTTGAAAGAACTTCTAAACAATGATTTTGGCATCAGGCCAGCTGTTAATCAGGTGAAACAAGAAGATTTCAGTATCATGAAACTTTATTATTTATATATTTACAGCACTGATCAGCTCAATTTACTTTCCGAATATTAACAGAAGCTCTTTCTTCAATGCAATAATATTGAATTTGAAGAAATAGTTTCAATCCACTTTTCAAAAAGTCGAAAGTTATTAATGAGTGAGAGTTCAAAACAGGTTTTTCTATTAACCAGTTGTCTCTATAAGATCGATAACCATCAAATCAAATATATTTTGTCAGAAGAAAAATACATCTTATAGACAAAGTCTTATNTTGTCAGAAGAAAAATACATCTTATAGACAAAATCTTAGATATTGTTGATAATATTTTTTCTGGAGAAAATCCATTCAAAACATACTAATAAATGAGTACAAATTGAAAAACATGAATACAAAAGCAAACATAAAAATATAAATATTCTGAGCGAATAAATATTGTTTGTAATTGTATCAAGAGTCGAAAGTATCATCAAAATACTCCTGAACTGTAGAATAGACACATCAACCAGAAGCATTTTGACCTCTTTTCTGAATCTATTGTACACATTCCTTCAATTTGAACTAGCAGATGATTGAATAGTTTGATATCATTGAAAATAATTGAATCCCCAACAGAAGAACTCGTGGGAATAGGCAGTTCTATATTGCTATTGTGATTGCAGCTATTATAAGAAGTATGGATCACACAAATGATGTTTCTTCATTAAACAAAAAGTTTCCAAAATGTATGAGGAGGCTACTGTTAAGATACCATGAGCTTTGAAAAGAGGTTTGCATGTAACCTGGAAAGCAGCTTTGCACATGTACTTGACAGCCCTTTTTTGAAGAACAAAAATCATTTGAAATAAATCTCTGGAACAGACTCTTTCTATAAGAGCAAAATAGGCTGTTCTTGAATTGGCGTAGCCTAGCCTTAGGCACAGTTCTTGCTTAAGTTTATTGTATGATCCTTGAACTTCAATTCATCATCTTTATTTAGCCCAAGAAATGTATATGCATGTATTCTTTCTGAGATTTTTTACCAAGGTAGATCTCAAGAAAGGTGCAGCAAAAAGTAATAATTCTGGTTTTATTGATTTGGAAGGATAACTTATAACAGTCACACCATTCTTTCATTTTTTTTTATGTCTTCAGAGATGATCTCATACAGAACGGCAACCTTATTGTGCCATAATAAGGTAGTGTCATCAGCAAAGAGGGTGACCGTGGCTGTTATATCTATGGGAGCTAAGTCATTTACATAGAAAAGAAATAAAATTGGGCCAAGGATCGAGCCTTGAAGCACTCCACATTTGATGGACTGTTCAGAAGAACACTCAGTTGTTTTTACTGTTTGTGGCTCGATAAATATGATTGGAACCACTGAAAGGTGATGCCTCTGAAGCCATACTTCTGTAGCTCATTCGAAAGTATCTTGTGGTTAACACAGTCTAATGCCTTCGATAGGTCACAGAAAGTTGCAGCAAGTGATTCTTTACCATTAAATTGGGAATATATTGTTATTAGTTGAAAGAATATTGCATGATTGGTACCCTTATCTTCTTGGAATCCGAATTGGTGAGAAGTAAGAATGTTTTTGTTAGTACAAACATCAGTAGGTCCACCCTTATAAAGAGGGATTATAAGAGAAGTCTTCAGGAATGACGGGAACTCGCCAGATTGATAAGATGTGATAAAACAACCATAGTTGAATGAGGTAGAGTTTCAAATATTTTGATAGGACCCATCATAAATGAAAGAGTCTGTTATAAGGGAATATTTTAGAATGGGCAAATTAAAGTTGTTTTTGGCGAGTGACGTTTGCGTTAATTGAAAACTGAATTTGATGTTTAACAATAATAAAAATTGATATTACAATGAGGATTTTCTCTTCCTTAAACAGTGGCCTGCAAGAATCTCGTGGCTTTGGTTTACACAGAAAACTTACAGCTCTTTTCTGTATAACTAAAATTGATTGCAGTGTTGTCACAGTACATGCACCCCAGAAAGGGATTCCATATCTTAGCGTGAGATTCTATGAGAGAGTGATATATAACTTTGGCAGCAGACAATCCTTACTCACAAGATATCAGCCTCACAGCGTAAAACCCAAAGGATGACTTTGATTTGAGACCCCTGATATGGTCCTCAAATTTCAAATCACTCAATAAATAGTCCCAGAAATGTAGTTGATGGTTTATTCTCAACAAAAATGTTGTCGAATTGTAAATTACTAATGGAACATTTGAAGCAAATTACGTTCGTTTCTGATATACTAAAACTGAGAAGAATACTTATTTCTGGCCGATTGAATATTCAACAATATCAGGTTTAGTGAATAAGGTAGATTTGATTTATTCTTATAAATGCAGTGATCTTTCAATTGATCACAGTCGAAAAAATAAATTTTCATAAAGCTGCAGAGATGCTCACTAAGACATTTATGTAGGTGATATTAATGCCGGTTGCAAAACAGTTCAGGAGGCAAAATGTCTACAGTCTGAACTCTTTGCCTAACTTAAATGGGCTACGTTGGAACTGAGGAAAAAGGCCAGTAATGATGTGATTCTTCAACAGTCTTTTTTGTAATTCGATTAAAACAAGTCAATTAATTGATATGATTGTGCTCGACTGGAACCTATCAATAAGTTTTCATATCAAGTTCAGCCTTTGGATGGAAGTTATTTCGAAAGAATAATTTTATCAAAAGTGACTTGTATGTTTTATCCATTGGGACTTTTAGCTACTATCTCGTGTAAAGACACCCGACGAAACCATCGTATGGCGAAACATGTGTTGGGTTTTTGTACAACTGTTCAGTGAAAATCTCACGATACAGTGTTTCTTGAATACGTTATGGATTTTCATCTGTTTTGTTTTATCACATCTCTCAATTATTCATGAATTTTGAGGTTATTTATACCTGAGATAACACTGCCATAGACTAATTCTAAATGTTGTCAAATATTTTTAAACCATGTGTTTCTATTTTCTCAGGTACTTTTGCGTTGGGCAGTGCAGCAAAAACTTCGAAATAAGAAGGTAGCATATGATTGGTTATCTTAAAAATAAATATCATTGCTGACCTGTAATATCTTTCACAAATAGACATCCACTGTAATGCACTGAGCATAAAGCATATACTTGCATAACGATTACATCCAAGAACCACCCTCATTCCTCTGTTCTGTAACTTTTGCAGCGACATAATTTTATTTTGGTCAAACTGTATAACAGCATACTGCAATAATCAAAATGGGGCTGTATTATTGTATTATATACGGTTATTTTCGCATTTGTAGAAAGGTGTTTCGAAATTCTAGTGAAGAAATATAGCTTTTTTGAAATCTTTTTAGTCATATAAATATAGTGTGCACCAAAAGACATACTGTTGTCCAACATAAAACCTAAATATTTGAATTCTTTCACAAATTCAAGTTCCTGACCATCAGCATACAGGGAAAGAGTATTTATATTTGTTTATATTTGTAAGAGGTTGTCAGAATCATAGCTTTCGTTTTTGATTTAGAGATGAGTTCATCTTTTCTATAGCTACTTTCAGGTCTTTATGTGCTATAGATAGTAACGTGTCGTCAGCAAATAAGTTGATAAACTCACTAGTGTGGTATGTGTTTATGTCGTTTATGTAAATCAAAAACAACAAGGGCTCCAGTACACTTCCCTGGGGCACTCCGCACTTTGTAGTGACTGGAATGAAAATTCACTTTCAATCTTTGTGACTTGTTGTCGATCATTTAAATAATCTTTAAACCAATTTAGCACAACCCCTTTAATCCCAATTAATTCTATTTTTTTTTAAAAGGATATTCCTGTCAATTGTCTCGAATGCTCTTCGTAACAATCAGTTGTAGAGCGGTTTCACAGGTATGGCGAAACATGTGTTACGTTTTTGTACAACTGTTCAGTGAAAATCTCATGATACAGTGTTTCTTGAATACGTTATGGATTTTCATCTATTTTGTTTATCACATCTCTCAATTATTCATGAATTTCGAGGTTATTTATACCTGAGATAACACTGCCATACTAATTCTAAATGTTATCAAATATTTTTAAACCATGTGTTTTTATTTTCTCAGGTACTTTTGCGTTGGGCAGTGCAGCAAAACGTTGCAATTATTCCAAAATCAAAGACCAAAGAGTACATTTTTAGCAACTGTGAACTCGACTTTATCATTCCAGAAGAGGACATGAAAACTCTATTCAGCTTCAAACAAACCAAGTACGATTGGGACCCCAATACCATTCCTTAGAATAATTCCAAAAATAATCTGTGTCTCTGATTTAAATAAATCGGAACTCAATTTTTAGGTTTATTGAAATAATTTTATTGAAATGTTAAGTGGTAATGTATATTTTATGAAAGAAAAAGTGTTTTTATGTGATACAAATTATTAGTTAAATGTTACATTCGATATGAAACCATAAATCTAAGAGCAGAGAAATTGATGGAATATTTTGGAGTAAGTAAAAACACTGAAGTGGAATGACATCAAGAAATTGAGTATGATGAAAAACAAGCTGGTAGACCACTTGCACATGTTTTCATGTATAAAAACTAATCGTTTACACTCAATAAATGTGTATGCATACAACGAATACAACAGTTTTCAGACAGATAAAAGCACATGCCAAAAACATTCATGACGTCAGAAGGCTGTATGAGTCTGCATCAGATGTTGCGTATTCTTAGTTTATGTGCAGTGTGAACATTTCTGAGTTGTATTTCCATCAGCTTGGCAATATTGGTTTTTCCTATTGTTTTTCTATTTTTACAATTATATTGAGAAGTGTCGTTATTATGCTCGTTTACGATTGCGTTTTGATTTTTAGTTATTAATTGTTATAACATGTTTTAAATTGCATTTCTGTTTTGAGTTATTGGATACTAAATAAAATGTATGTTGTGTAACTAAGCTGTTTCTATGAAGTGATTCATTAAAGAACTAATGGTTTTAAAAAATTATAGGACCCGTCTTGGAAAAGTACCACCGAGCTTACGCAGAAAACGGCGTTTATGTGCGCGACGTATACAAATTTTTGAAGTCAGCCAATCAAATCTTTTTATATGATGTAAAGTTTAGCGAGATTGAATTGAATTTTATGCCACTGAATTTTTCTTTGAAAAATAAGTGAACATATTCTTGTAATATTCATTTATTTACTTACAAACTGTACAGACCACGGCCCAGTTACAGAGTAGGAAAGGTAAATATCACAAATAGATTTGTACTTACAACAAAATGACAAAAAAGTTATAAAAACAAATATTCAACAAGAGTTATACAATTCTTGGAAGATTTTGGAAGAATATATCAGTCATTTTGTACATTATTATAGGCATTGCACATAGCATTTATTGGAGCATTTTGATAGTAATCTGTTCTTGCCGATTCAATATAAAATGTGCAAAACGATCTAGTTTCATAAGCAGGTACATTTGAAATTGATTTTCGATAGAAGACAGGGATCATCCACTTCACCATATCAAGGTCATAGTTACCTGCTTCTTTGAAGTGAAGATATCTCAGAAACTTGTTTTGAACTCTTTCAATGCTATGATTGTGGCAGTTATATTGAGGACACCAGATAATGAACGCATATTCCTAATTGCTTCTAATTGCCTAGAGTTGCGAACAACAAACCCATACATCTTTGAGGCTTTGTTATATTCAGTACCTATATGGATCTAAATGATAAGTCATAATCAAAAGTAACACCAAGGTCTGTTATTTATCGAGTTCTGTTGAGTTTTATACTGTCCATTCTGTAGCTGTATGTTAAACTGACCTTTTTTTCGGAAGAAAGTCATAGTTTTACATCTATGGTTTTATTGGCTTTCAGGAAAACAGATAACATGTTTTTTTAAATATTGTAGGTTGAAATGAAAATAAATATTACCCAAAAAGATAAAATGGTAACTTGAAGGATGAAATCAACTGTAAAACTGGTAGAAATAAATCAAACATAAAATAATTACAATTATTTTGAAAAAGATTGAAAACACCAAATTTATCATATTTTAAATGTTAGAAAATATATTAATCAAGCAATGGACTTGTCACGATATCAAATTAAAGGTTTTAACACTAATTTCTGTACTGGCTTGACAGAATGTGTGGTTTTTTTTGAAATTGTTTGTTACTATGGATGACTGTTACTTCTAATCACTTGATTGGAGGATACTGATTTGTTCCGCTATAGGCTTTGGTGCCTCACATAAAACATGAAGAACTCTGTTCCATTGTTTCGTCTGCCTCTACAGTACACGTAACTGGACATTATCTAGTGAACAGCTCTGTAATTGTTCTGAACCAATCATTGCCTTACTAAAGAACAAAGCTGTATGTCTGTAGAGAGGTATAATTATTTGTATTTAGTAGGTTTTCATAAACAATAACTGAATATAGTGTTATTATTTTGAGATATTTAAATATTGGACGGCAAGTTTCATCCCATTTGGCAGAAGTTATACTTCTTACAGCGGATTTCTGCAGGATAAACACTTTTTCAAGATGATATTTTGATGCACTGCCCCAGATATTATTCCATATCTTAGAACTGAGTGAAAAAGAGAATGGTATGTAGTGAGGACTGCGTTCTGGTTTGCGGATCTTTTAATTATTCTAATTGCATATGTTAATCTACTCAGCCTTGTACATATGTTATTTATATGTTCTAGCCATGATAAATGTGTATCAATATAAACCCCTAAAAATTTGACTGCAGTTTTATCAGCTTGCTTTGAGTTTATTGTTTCAAAAGTTTGTACTTCTGTTTTTTGTTCATTGAAAATCAGTTCATTTGACGCAAACCAAGATCGTGCTTTGTCTACGATATTATTTAGAGTATGTTGAGGAGTTTTAAGTTCGTCCACTACAAAAACACATGACATTAAAATGAACAAAACTTTGTGAATCGACCTTATACAACTGTTTTCAGTTGTACTGAATGAAATTTATTTGATAACCCACTAAAATAAGACAGATAAAAAGACCTAGAACTCTGGTCGAGCCACATACTAAAACAAAAGGAAAATATAGTGTTGCTAGAAAACAGAAACAAGACATGAAATTGTTGCTACTGAAATTGAAATTGGGAAATGCGGTTTTGGAGAAGCCATTCTAGATTACTCCAATGTAACTGTCTTCGGAAATATATAGATTTTCATTCTTGTATGATTCAGCATACTATTGATACTATTTAGAAATATAAAACTGTATTGAAATATTGTCATCATTAAACAAGAGATAAACATGTCAAATATTTGTGGATTAATTTGTAATAAGTGAAGAGAGCATACGAATGAATTGGTATTACCTTTCCATTTATATCACAAATTATTCTACAATGACACTGGGCAAATATAACAGTAAATATAAGAGCAAATTGCTCAAACTGAACCCAAGCTAGGAATAATTGCTTAACAAAATATGGCATCGTAAATGCTGAAGGCTTTCTCCATTAACCAAATCTATCATCTCCGAAGCCCAAATCATACTTAGAGAAAATAGCAGAAAGAAATTCCACGATTATCATTCATAGTTGGATAATCTTATATGGTTTCATAACACTCAAGAGTTCGAGATAACATTTGCAATCAACAGTATACAGTAATTTTGATAGATAGTTTCAAAATAGTTGCTTCGAAGCCTAATACCTTCTGTACGTTATATGCTAAAGCAATAGTTTAGTACGTAATAGAAAAATACAATTGTATGTTTTATAAAATCACTCATATTGGCAGTGACTAGATTTAGAAAAGTAAAACCTTCAAAAAATAGATAAATACTTTGTTAGGGAAACAGATCAATTTGTGGTTTAGGACAAACTAATTGAAATTAATCAAAAAATAATACAAATGGCATGAATTCATTGTCTAACATGATATCAATCTCAATTATCACTAGTAGAAATATTCACCACCAAAAAACTTGTACAGTGGATTTTGACAGATTAAATGTCAAATTCTATATGTGGGTATATACAGGATGTTTACAGTCTTACAGCTATATTTCAAACAGAAACAGATCAAGTGAATATTGAACAAAAAACCTTCATTTCATTTTAGTGATCAGCCAAAATAATTGTTGTAATCTGTATAACATTTCACTGTGTGACATCACTGGTACCTTCCAATGCTGCTAGATCATTCATTCCGTAAAATTTATCAACATTTGCTTTATACAAAGTGATTGTATTAGGATTTTTGTGAGAAATTATAACAAAAGAAGCGTAAACAGCCCGTATAAATATAATATTTATCAACATTTGCTTTATACAAAGTGATTGTATTAGGATTTTTGTGAGAAATTATAACAAAAGAACCGTAAACATCCCGTATAAATATAATATTTATAAACACCCACAAGATCAAAAAATATATAGACTATTAAAAAAACAAACGGATTTATTTAGGTAGGAAGTTTACACATGAAATTAGTTTTCAAAGGGCCTTGTTTTGTATTAGATAACATCAGTTCATTAAGTATCAAAATTAATATGGCACTAATAACAAAAAGGGCAAGAGATTAAACTAACAGAAATTTCGAAAATTGAAAAAATATATTAGCTTCAAAATCTGATTATAGAAAAATGTAAGAAGAAAAACTTAGTGCAATATTCAATATGTGGGTGCTGCTCTTTTTATTAATTGATAAAAAATTGACAAACTCCTTTCCAGACAACATTTAAAATAAGATCTCATTGAAAACAATTTCTTGTGTCCTTATCATTTATACTTTACATTAGTGATAACGCCCTATAAATATTCGAGGGACTTAAAGGCAACTTTTCTTCTTTCAAAAATAATATTTTACTTCCCATAAATGTTGGTAAAACACTGTGAATAGGAGACGGTACATGCACTTTAATCCCTTCATATATAATATACTAGATAAATCTTCACATGGGTAAAAATCTATATGAAACACATACTTAAAACAAGGTTAAAAAGTAAAGTATTTAAGATAAGACAAGAGCGCATTTCATTATCTTTCAAATTATTCTAATGGATCACATCACTTCAGTAATAATTTACTGTGCACTTGAAGGGGCCTTGAAGCGAATCAACCTGGTGAGCATACTCATAATACAAGGTATTTGTTTCTGGCGGTGCATCGTCATGGAATCAGGAACGTTGCTTTCGAAATCTAGAGCGACACGCTGTGATACGAAAGTAAGGATTGTCATGACATCATACTCATTCACCCTATTTTTAAGTTCCTCACAGAGAGATTGGATGAACCATGAACCCCTGGTTGTGTTACGCCATGAATAGTACCCTGGAGGAATGTAAATGTATAATTCATTCAAACTGATAGAGAAAAAAAATCAATATTATTATTTCTACAGTATATTATTGACGAGGTCTGTTGAAAAAGTAATGAAGTTTCTTTTTTTCAGAGTACACTAAAACTGCAACTAAAATATGTAAAATAATCTGTCGGCCACTTCTCGAATATGCACATGTAATTTATTCAAGTTGTCATAATCCTGCATTAAAAAATCTCCCAACAGCTGAAACATTTACACCCTCACAATATACTACACAATCCCTCAAACGCACTGCTTTATAGAACTACAAAAGTGAAACCTATGAAGGAAAGACTATCAGACCTAGGAAACCGCTTTGCCAAAAATGAGACTAACTTGAAGACCCTACAGGCATTATTATGTAGGGAAAGAGCTGAAGGACAACCATCCAAATTCAAATACCAGGAAAAAACTATTTGTGAAAACATCAAATCACTCTCATAATTTATAATTTTTTTTTGTCAGAAATATAATGTACCTCAAATTTATTATGTAAGCATATGTAAAAATCACTGCAAATATTTAAAAATTGTACACTGGCTGAAGGACTTCAGTTGATGGTCCTTCGGTATTCACCAATAAATGACATTTATTATTAATAAATTGATGGATGTAGCCGTTACTACGTGGTAGGAAATCATAACGAAGAAAAGAGAAATAAAAACTTTCTATATTTTTAACCACTTTTATTTGTAACTAACGTTGCTGCAGTTTTGTCCTATACGAACATTTTCAAACTTATAAAATACACATAAGTTTGTATAAGTTTGAAAATGTCCGTATACGACGAAACTGCAGTAACTTTAGCTACAAATAAAAGTGGTAAAAAACATAGAAAGTTTTCATTGCTTTTCTTCACATGTATTATTATTTTTATTTATTTACTCATCAATTTCTACTTTGTCCCCTTCAAAATAGCTCCACCAAATATAATACACTCGTGACAGCGTTTTTTCCAATTTTGAAGCAGTTCTAATATGCTCTTTTTGGTATGTCTCTGAGCTGTCTCAGCGATTCAGTTTTTAACTCCTCAATCTCAGCAAAACGCCATCCTTCCATGGATCTCTTCAGTCTTAGGAACAGAAAAAAATCGCAGTGGACCAAATCTGGTGAAAACGGTGGCTGAGGGATGATTATGGTGTTGTTTTTGACTAAAAAAATACGAATAAGCAATGACTAGTGAAGGGGCACACAGCAAAAGCCTTGAAATGTGTTACCACAATACCGGACGGTTTCTTCGTATTACTTCTCGCAAGTGGCGCAAAACTTCAAGATAATACTCCTTACTGACTGTACGACCATGAGACAAGAACTCCTGATGCACTACGCAACGGTAGTCGAAGAAAACAGTGATCAAAATCGAATTGGCGAAGAAGCAATTCGGTTTTCAGACCAAAAAGGTGCAGGAGACGCTCTGTTCATTCTTCTCTAAGAACTGTATACAATAAACAATGGAGTGGTGAGTGAAGCGCTATTTTGTGACACTTGTCAAACGCCTTTGACTGTAAACCATAAATTTTACTACATAAAATGAAATACTATGGTTTCAGAAAACAGAAACATAAGTGGACAGAACTGAAACAGAGAACTCAGATTACATCGAATGTGGGGTTCCTCGAAGTTCATAGCTTGGACCAATTTTATTCTTGTTCTGTTTTAATGAATTGGCAGGCAACCTTTATAATCTTTGCACATGACACTACCATTTCATATTCTTATTCTTCAACATTAAAAAAACTGTTTATCTTTTCAGTGTATTTTGGCTGATATTCCTCTAGGTAATGGCCTAATACAAAATAATGTATACAAGTTTTCAGTGGTACACATGGATGGAGAACTGAGTTTCCTGAACCATGTCAATAAAGGATAAACAATTGTCTTCAATTATTCGAGACTGCATATAGTTGCAAATGAATTAGGTATAGCAACATTAAAGAAGGGTTCACCATACCATGCCTTGACTGAGACTCACATTTGTTACATTGTTGCTTTCTGGGGTATTTGAAACCAAGAACATTTCAACTCAATCTTTAATCCAAAAAACCTGCTACTCGCACTATTTTTGCAGAGTAGGACCAAGGTATCTTGTAAAGAATTATTCAAGACACATCAGTTGTTTACTCTCACTACTAATTCTCGAAACTGCCTGTTATGGATACAAAAACAAATCAGAATACAAGGTTATTGATGGAATCACCCGCCAATGAGATGACATAAAAACTTTCAATTCCAAAAGCAAATCAAATAATATAGTCATGCATTTATAATGAACCTTTTTCCTGAAGTACGAAACATCACTCACTAGCAGCACTAGTAGTTCGGTAGGGACAAACACTGCCTAATCCTCATACAAACATATGGTAAAGTACAATTAAAAAAGAGTAGCGGTAGATTCAAACTGTAATAAAAGAAATTTAAAATAATTATGAATTTCAGATTACGAATAGTTTGTTTGTCCCTACTACTAGTGCTGCCTCTCGTGACACGTTCGCTGTACTATTCTCAGGAAAAAATCTAATTCTGAAATATTCAATCATCTGACAAAATAAATTAAACATTCTAAAACATATACTGTGCTCAGCAAAAACCTAAAAAATTCTCTGCAAGATCTGGAATTTTTTGAGACACTGTTTATAACCTGACTCATCACTTCAGTATTAGTATTTATTGATTGTTGTATTTTGTTTATTAATTTTAGAGTTTACTAGATACTTTTATGTACTGTTATGTACTGAATTGATATTGAATCAGTATCATGTGAATCATGGTATAAAGGCATATCCAGCTATGTCTTACACTGTGTTGATGAGATTTTTTTTTTATCTTCAGACAAAAAAGTATATTTTGATTTGAAGTAAACGTACTAGTAGAGTTGAGACATGAACAATTATTGCACTAATGTGATTTTTGCTCAGTACATTAGCTCAGTCGTCATGGTTTTTGGAAACTGAGCGTCCCAACTACATTAACTTATTACATAAGTAAATTTACTATAGAATTTGAACCTTCAATCTTTAACATAATACCAACCTTTGACAGTGGAATAGACAATTAGAAAATCAGCTTGCACTGGGATTCTGTAAGTATCACAGATTAAACCATCAGTTTCAGTCTTGTACAAGTTGACACCACTGTCAAGTTTGTCACCTTGGCATGCCTGCATAAAAAACATCTTGGGTTTACCTGAAACAATTTCAAAGTGGAATAAAAAAAATTTGAAAAGGTTGAAGTGTTGTACCTGCTAGAGTTGGACATTTATCAGCTGTAAAAGGTGACCAGAGGTAATCTGGCTTATAAGGAGTATCTTTAGCATATATTATTCCCATCTCACCATGGGAAAGAACTGCTACCAGGATGCAGTCACTAGATGAATGGTCCATTCGTGCAGCTGAACATAAAATAACATAAATTTTAATATGAAAAATAAGAATTGAAACTTTTTCTACATTCTTTACCACCTTTATTCATAACTAATGTTACTGCAGTTTCCTCCTATAGGAACATTTTCAAACTTATGCATTAAACTAAAAATGATTGATTACATTAGCCCTTATATAACAATCCTGCCCCATGACAACGCCCGTCTGCACGTTTCACAAATCACCGTCTGATAATTGAACGAATTGAGCATCAAAGTTCTGCCTCACCCACCATACTACCCAGACCTCTCGCCAACGGACTACCATATTTTCAAGCACTTCGATAACTTTCTCACCGGTACAACCTTCGCCAATCAAGACCCCTAGAAATCGAAACCCTAGAAAACAATGTTTATGCTGGCGCAATGAATCGACTTGTCTGGCAAAAGTGCAGTGAGTATAAGTGAGACATTACAGTTTGGAGTAGGTAGGTAGGTAGGTCTAAAGTGAGTGGGTCTATTCGACCCTCCACCGCAACCCATAAGGGTTTATTATGGCTCACACCTATTCACATTCGGCCAAATAAACCCAGCTTCTTAACGAAGCCGATTAGTTTGTATGATGAGTGGTCTTTCAGGTCAGATGGTGAGAGTACGGATCTGCGGAACTCAAAGAAGCTGATTCGGTCCCCAGCGGGGCAGGCACAAAGTATATGCTCTGCAGTTTCATCATATTCCAGACAGAGGCGGCACACACTGTCTTCCGACAGTCCAAGTCTCTGCGTGTGATGATTCAAATGACAGTGACCTGTAAGAAGGCCTGTTAGACATTGTAGTTCATCCCTACTACAGTAGGAATCAACTGTTTGGAATCAAGCTTCGAAGGATGAATAAACGCCTTGGAGTGAGCCAATCCTGGAGGATTCTGCCAGTAGTCCATAACTCTCCTTGTCATCCAGGTGTTGAGTGTTTGTTTGGCAAAGCCCAAAACGATGCCAATGACAGGTTCTGGTCCAATGAAGCCGCTTGCAGCACCCTCCTTTGCAATAGAGTCAGCAGCTTCATTGCCTTCCAGGCCAGTATGGAATAAAGCTGCAGAGATGCTCAGTGAGACATTTATGTAGGTGATATTAATGCTGGTTGCAAAGCAGTTCAGGAGGCAAAATGTCTACAGTCTGAACTCCTTTGCCTAACTTAAATAGGCTAGGTTGGAACTGAGGAAAAAGGCCAGTAATGATGTGAATATTCAACAGTCTTTTTTGTAATTCGATTATAACAAGTCAATTAATTGATATGGTTGTTCTCGACTGGAACCCATCGATAAGTTCTCATATCAAGTTCAGCCTTTGGATGGAAGTTATTTCAAAAGAATAATTTTATTGAAAGTGACTTGTATTTTTGATCCATTGGGACTTTTAGCTACTATCTCGTGTAAAGACACGGTAGGAAGATCCTAATACACAAACATAATATACATAATATTTCATGTTATATAGACACACATAGTAAGGATATAATACTAGTACTATTCTATTGTGATACCTTTCATATAATCAGTCAAATCTTTTTTGAATTGAAACAGGTTTTAATTATTCTTCACATTTTGGGGAAGTTTGTTATATTCAATGAGGCCTTTATATAGTAAAATTTTCATGAAGTTTGATAAACTACATTGTGGCAGGTGAAAATTGTCATTTTGTCTAGTAGTGTAATTGTGAGTGGAATTTCTATAAATGATAAATTCTTCGAAAATTACCACCTTTATTCATAACTAATGTTACTGCAGTTTCCTCCTATAGGAACATTTTCAAACTTATGCATTAAACTAAAAATGATTGATTACATTAATTGAACGAATTGAGCATCAAAGTTCTGCCTCACCCGCCATACTACCCAGACCTCTCGCCAACGGACTACTATATTTTCAAGTACTACTTCGATAAGTTTCTCACCAGTACAACCTTCGCCAATCAAGACCAGACCTTCGTCTATTTCATCGAAACCCGAAAAAACAATGTTTATGCTGGCGGAATGAATCGACTTGTCTGGCAAAAGTGCAGTGAGTATATAAGTGAGACATTACAGTTTGGAGTAGGTAGGTAGGTAGGTCTAAAGTGAGTGGGTCTATTCGACCCTCCACCGCAACCCATAAGGGTTTATTGTGGCTCACACCTATTCACATTCGGCCAAATAAACCCAGCTTCTTAACGAAGCCGATTAGTTTGTATGATGAGTGGTCTTTCAGGTCAGATGGTGAGAGTACGGATCTGCGGAACTCAAAGAAGCTGATTCGGTCCCCAGCGGGGCAGGCACAAAGTATATGCTCTGCAGTTTCATCATATTCCAGACAGAGGACGGCACACACTGTCTTCCGACAGTCCAAGTCTCTGCGTGTGATGATTCAAATGACAGTGACCTGTAAGAAGGCCTGTTAGACATTGTAGTTCATCCCTACTACAGTAGGAATCAACTGTTTGGAATCAAGCTTCGAAGGATGAATAAACGCCTTGGAGTGAGCCAATCCTGGAGGATTCTGCCAGTAGTCCATAACTCTCCTTGTCATCCAGGTGTTGAGTGTTTGTTTGGCAAAGCCCAAACGATGCCAATGACAGGTTCTGGTCCAATGAAGCCGCTTGCAGCACCCTCCTTTGCAATAGAGTCAGCAGCTTCATTGCCTTCCAGGCCAGTATGGCCAGGAATCCAGACCAGAGACAATCTGTTTAGTCTTCCTATCGAGGAGAGTCTTTTTTGGCAGTTTGCTACCAATTTAGACGTTGCTCGGTGGGAGCCAAGAGCTTTCAACGCCACTTGACTGTCCGAGAATATTTTTATTGACTTGTGAGTGAGGTTGGATTTATCCAATCTCTCCGCACACAATTCAAAAGCGTAAATTTCCGCTTGAAATACACTCGCATAAGTTCCTAGGCAGGTAGATAACTCTGTCCTAGGTCTGCGACTGAAAACACCTGAACCAGAACCGGAAGGTGTTTTTGATCCATCTGTGATCCATCTTAATATTTCCTTCTCCCGCAGGATCCAGTCCTCTCTACTCAGGAATAGTACTTTATAAGGAAGTTCGTAGTTGACAGTTGGAGGTCATTTCCAGAATGCTGTGACTTCCAATGTAAACCAACAGTCTGTTGCACTCTGCATTGAATTGATTTGTGCAATTGGCAATATGCACAAGTCTGTATGCAGTCCATCTAGCCTCTCTTGCCAGAAAAATGTGGAGTGGAGGTAGATCTAGAAGGATCTCCATGGCCGCTGACGGTGTGGTACTGATGGCACCACTGATAGCCACACAAGCCTTCTCTGTAAACCAGAGAGCTTCGCTTGGACCGTTTTCTGTAACGCCTTCGGCCACCAAGCAATTGCACCATACTTGATCATTGGTCTGACAATCATCACATAAATCCAATGGATTTGTTTGGGACCTAAACCCCAAGTTTTACCACAAATCCTTCGACATGTCAATAGAGACAGTCTGGCTTTGTGTAAAACTTTTTCCAAGTGAGCGGTCCAGGTGAGTCTTTTACCTCAAGGACATTGCCAAGATATTTCACCACCGTTCCAAATGGAATAGCCACACCATTGAGGGAAAGTAGCGTTAGATCGTCCAATTTCCTTCTCTTGGTGAAGGGGATTAACACAGTTTTGCTGGGGGTTGACAGACATCTGCTCCCTCAGGCACCAAATGAGAACAACGTCCAGCACGCTTTGGAGGATATTACAAGCTACCCTTTCAGACGTGGACCTTGACAGGATGACAAGGTCATCTGCATAAGCTTGCAGATCAACTTTTCTTCTGTCGAGGGCATGGAGCAGACTATCCACCAGGAGCGACCACAGAAGGGGAGATAGTACCCCATCTTGAGGGCAGCCCCTGGTGACCCTGAACCTGATAGCCTCGCCTTGGAAGAGTCGTAGTTGCAGTTCTGTGTACTAGCATGGCATAGTTCCAGCCAGTTATGGTCTATTCTCTTTGTTGTCAAGGGATTGGGAGATTTTCTCAACGAGGTTGTTTAATGCTGAATCTGTCGATTTGCCGGTTTGATAAGCATACTGGTGGTTATTCAGTGAAGATGCATATAATGCTACCCTCCTGATATGTCCGTCCTCTCAAGTCCTTTCAGCAGAAAGGATGTAAGGCTGTATGTAGGTTAGCAGAAATAAATCAGAATCTAAAAATTGTTCCGTCAGGGTGCCTCAGGGTTCTATATTAGGTCCACTCTTATATATAATATATGTAAATGATTTTTATAGTGATCATTTCGTTATGTATGCTGATGACACATCTTTATTGATAACTCAGGAAAATATTAAAGCGACAGTTAATAAAGCATCTGATGAAATAAAAAGAACCCAAAAGTGGTTCTCCGACAATGGTATATTGTTAAAAGAAATGAAAACTGTACTTTTACGTTTCAATCATTCAAGAACAACTCCAGATCACAGTTTACTAGTAACGTCAATTAATGGATCAATTCAACAAGAGGAGACAAAATTTTTGGGTTTGAAGATAACAGAAAATCTCAAATGGAACAAGCATATTGATACAATTTGTAAAAAGATATCCTCAATATCTTATTATATTCAACAACTACGCTGGAATGTAAATACATCACTCTTATTAATGTACTACCATGCATACTTTCATTATAACATTTCCTATGATATTATAGCTTGGGGAGCATCTAGTGATTGTTCCACAATACTACAAATTCAAAAAAGAAACAATAAGGTATATAGCAGGAGTTACTAGATGGATAAGTTGCAAACTCATCTTCCAAAATCTCAGAATATTGACTGTTACAAGTATATACATTTATGAGATATTAAAATATGATGCTGTTACATTAATAACAGAATATTTTTGGTTTCAACTTTTATATAGTATGTACATGTTCAACATTTTAGGCTGATTTTAGTAACGATGCTGTTGCATAAATAGCAGATTATTTTAGATTTTGACTATTATATATTATATTATATTATCTATGTAAATTGTATATTGTGCCTTTAAGTGCACAGAGTTTGTATGTTAATTTTGTATTTGTACACTTTTTGACATACTCAATGTCATCTATAGATGATCCAACTGAATAAATATTATTATTATAATATTTTAGTCATCAGAGAACATAATAGTATATTATTTTATATGAGGAAGCTAATGCAATAGCAAATAAAGTTTACTGGTTACCAGTATTAATGTATGAAATTGAAATGTGAAAACAATGTGTATTTCTCATATGAAGTGAGAATTGACAGAGGCACCTTGAAGGTGCCGTTATTTGATTAGCACTCTAGTGATAACAGTGAGTATCAATAATCTTTATCAGTGTTTCACAAACTGATACATCAAAAATAGATATAATCAATTAATTTTCTATGTTATGAATATGATAGTACGGTACCAATAATTTCACTAGTATATGGAAGCTCAACAAAAAAATTAGGAATGCTATAGCTGAAAACTAAAAACAGCTCACAAGTCTTCATTATTGTTCAATTTTTTTTAAATCTACACAATAATAAAGTGAAATGACTTCTTCTCACAGCCGAGTGCTGTCATAGCAATATATGCCACGATTATACTTTTAACATAATAAATATTTCTTTTCGATTTTCAAGTATTGCACAGTATTGGAAGATCGGTCAGATAATATAAATGCATGTTATTGGGGTTTGATATCAAGAATTTCTCATTATTAAATTTCGATTTAGGGATAGCTACCCTTCAATAATCCAAGTTCTGAGATTATCTATAATAAGAAGTCGGAGACTCTTTCATAATTAACGATAAGAAACACAAATGCCATATATAACAATTGGTGCACGAAACTAAGGAAAAATATCAAATGTGCATGATAATCATAAAATTTCACATATTGCTGTATTACCAGAGAATTTAATTTCAAGCTTTCAACAAACTGTGATTCATTGTAAAAGTTTAATATCTACAAACTAATAATTAATGTACCATTTCAGCACTCATGATTGTGGTTTAATAATAAACCGAAACTTCGGATTAAATTAAAACAATTTTGCCTGATCTGTGACCCTCCCTACACCAGTTTCATCCTTTAAAATCTAAAATTGGGACACCACAAATACTCAACATTTTTTTTTAATACTTGGGAATTGTTTGACTTGTCCATTTCGTCAAAGTCTCTGGAAAATGTTGCAACCTTATGAGCTTATTGCGTTTTCCCCATGTTTTTCAATAACATCCATTTCAACAAACTTTTCGAATGTTCATCATATTGTTCTGCACATAATTTGGGTTATCTATAAATTGTTTGCCTCACATTCGCATGAAATATGAAGCGCAGTTTCTGTCACTTTTTTGCATTGCCTGAAGTTAAGATCTCCGTTGAACAGAGCCCTGTTTCCTAAAGAGAAATAGCAGAATTACAAAACTACGGATAATTAGTACGAGAAAACACAGTTAATCTTAGAGTTGAAATCACCAAAAAGCTGATGATCCTGCTTTTGAAACACGAAGAAAATTCGTGTAAAATTTGTTCATAATTTTAATGGTGAATAAATACACCAAAATATTATGCATTGTAAAACAGCAAAATTAGATATGGAAAACTTTAATGAAAATTGATACTAGATTATCTAACAGTAAGATCACTTAACAAGAAATATTAGTAGAGGAAAAATAAAATGAAAGTAAACTAAATTTATAGAAAAATAGTGACGATGTCATATTTGCGCAGAAGAAAATACAGATATGAATTTGAATGGAAATTTCATGCAGATAAGAAAAATCACTTGAAAGTGCAGGCCTTACTTGATTCAGAATGATAATACAATACCCAGTTATTCAACTGAATGAAGTACCTGCAGATGTCTGGAGGAAGAATATGTAGAAAAAAATTGTTACTCATCTAAATCAAAAAAAGATTAGTCAAGACACAAATCACAACTTGCAATATTTTTGAATTTTCACAATCAAAACACTAGCTGAGAGCCAAAAAATGTGAGCATTTATAATCTGAACAAAACATTAGGTTCGGAAATGAAATTACTAATGTCAGATTTAATCATTTTTTATATCTTTTAGGGATTCGAATAACTAAACTCACTTGCAAGAGTTGTTGCATTTTAGTGTCCTGAAGAAGTCTTATTACTTGACGTGAAAGCTTAATGTGTTCACATTCTGAATGCTTTGTAAATGAATCTTCCTCGTTTAGTTTTTTCAAAACTTCAACAGCAATACATTAATATCTATAGAAAGGTCATTTATACATCAAAATCTATTTGGAATATGTGTATTAATGTTCAACTTCAAATCTCAGTTCTCATAAAGAAATTGAAAAAATATTCATTAACCAAACAAAGAAAGATTACTCTTGGTAAATTGCATTTGTTGCTATCAAAAAATTTCACTGGAGAAAACCCAACCAATCAGCAATAGAATTATTAAGGATAAACTACCTTGTTTTATTTGAAACTCGATATCAGTATAATTCAAATCTTTGAAGACTTGGACATCGAATCCTAATTTTACTAGACACTCCTTGAGGTTTTTACAATCTTCATTAGTACCGGAGCGAGGTTTCAATCCACCACATTCAAAAACTTCATGATTGAAAATCAATGCTAACCCCCTTTTTGGATGATCCATTCTGTAGTGGGTGGCATATTTAGGAACAGGCATTCGTGCAAATACTTTTCCAGACTGGGGTCTGAAAGAAAATTCAAAGATATTTTCCATAGTAAATAAGACGACAGTAATCCAAATAAACTTCAACAGAATTCATGAAATACTTTTTGATGGGTGTGAATGGTAATTTAATGTTTACAATCGCCTATGATACGCAATCCTATGAAATTAGTAAATTTCTTTCTTTATAGGCAAGCTGAAAATCAATGTATGTTAATCAACATGTGATTAAATCTTTACGTGATTATTACAACAGTTTTTCTAAATTTGACCAACCTTAATGCAGTATAAGGTGTCCTCGATTCGTGTTTGGTATCATCAGCGGTTGAAATAAAGCTGATAGGAATTTGTATAGTGTTAAATCTCTGATACAATTAACAATGTCCAACAGAATATTCTTTTTAACAATAATTCAACTGTAATCAGTAACACAAACATATGAGAACGCATCCAATTGAAAAGTACACATACAGAGAGATTAGTGGAAAATTAACTTGAAATCAAATCCATACATAATCACAGAAATTTTACTTTTTTGGGTTATTCACTTAAAAATCTGTTTCAAAATAATATTTGTTGAATTACAAAAAAATCACCCTCTAATTACTACCACAATTGAAAATAATCTTTATCACTTCACAACTCATTTTATGTACTTGAAGTGTGCTCTAGAATTTCAACTAGTTCAGGTGTTTAGTGGTTGCCCTTTGAAATGTCAACTTGATATTGTAAAGCAGTATCTCGAGAGTGAGCTCAATACTTTCATGTATGGTATTCTGTAATTCATTGGATCTCTTTAAAAATAGAGCTTTAGGTAGAGTAAGTCCGACAAAATATTTCACATAGGGAAGTGGTTAACTGATCACTCTGGGTATCTATGTATCTCAGATGAATTTTAAAGGTGTCAATACATTTTTTATTTGTTCTATGATCAGAATCATCTTCTTAATATATTCAAAGAAGAGTATAGAAATTTTCAAATCTTAGTCTTGATAGTTTATTCAATTTCACCACTTTTTTGGAGATAAGGTTCGATTTGGCTCAAAGACCAAAGAAACCTCTATTACAAATACGGGATTATTCAATTGTTATGGGGAATTGCATCAAGGGGACAATTCTTATAATTCTGTTGACCTACTGGAAGAAGCTATAAACACTACATAGAATTCATATATGTTATTGTTTTCTTATTGAATTATCCAACCATAGCTATACCCACTTTTTGTAGCAGAACAACCCTTTAGGAGCATTAGTTTAGACCAGCTCCAACGCAAAATTATTGATTTGTCACATATCTTCCACAAAGGATGTCAGTATCATTATTATAAGATTCTCAAACAAGTAAACTTATGATTAGTTTGTTACCCAGGTTGTCCTCGAGCATCTCCTGCATCTTTTCCACTTCCGAAGCATTGACCATCTTCTGCATCATGAAAATCTTCTTCAGGATTATTATGGCCATTGCCTACTACATCTGATCCGTTGTTTGTATCCATTCCTTCCCCGTAAACTATCCAAAAAATATGCTGAACTCCAACTTTTTCTAACTACTCGTTTTATTTATGAATCCAGTGTGATGTAATTCAAACTAAAAATCTGCTCTAGCTATAATTACGTGTCCAGTTTTCAGTTATATTTTTCAATACGACCACCAAAACAACACACAATCTAAAAAAAATTCAAAAATATTTGAAGAAAAGACTTCTTTGTTTGAAAGTTGTTTAAGTTCGTTCGTTTGTATATAAAAATTATGTACCTTTCCAGGCAACAACCACTACAGAAACAGTGAAATTTGACAGTTGTTACCAATGTCGATGGTTGTTACTGCTCAAGCAGCAACTACTCAAAATATAAGAACATAGACTTTCGTTTGTGTATACCAGTGAAGTATAATGTTAAAATTCCAAAAGTCGAAGCTGAATATCTTTTTCTGAAGCGTTCACAATGAAATTGAATGTATTCATCAATACTAATGCAATAAATTCATCTGCTAAGTGAATCGATAGATGTAAATTTAGGGAGGAAGCATGAGGTGACAATTGAAGTTCGTTGTCATGTTTTCCAATACTTATATTTTCTCTTCGAGAATGCCTCATTACATAGTATACCCCTCGGTGGTCATTGCCATCCCTATTAAAATGCTGAATTTATACCGATGGATATTCTACCCATTTTGTACACCTGCTAGAAGTCATTATGACTCCATAGGACATTTAAATATGGCACTATAGGTTTTGGACCTATGTTATGAAGACGATTTGTTGAATTCGCCGACGAGTCCAACGCCACCGATTGATATATCTCATGGATAAAAGTTATGAAATTTCTAGGCGATTAATTCATCTAGCGCGTTATTTCTATTAGTTGGAGCAATCCATCGGATTTTTTCTGTTGAATTCAATAGCTCACCTCTGTATTGTTGTTGGCGACTGCAACTATAGACATTCTATCATCTTCTATCCTAATATTTTTGTTGTTGTCGCAAACAACTATTGGAGCGCAAAATACCATAAATGGATAAGAATTTCATTCAGAGCAAAGAATATTTTCTGAGTTGGCTACAATGTATTCACGAACGATAACCCTCAGGAGTCCAATGATCGACATCATTTGAGTATATTCACAGGGTTTTCTATTCCCACACAAATACTCATATGAAAATACCAGATGGTATTCACGAGTGCACATGGAATAAATACTCCCGTAGGAATATCAGAATAGATAGATAGGTGATAAAATAGATTATGAATTTAAAATAAGTCATACTCCTTCTGCTGGTGTCGATGTTGTGAACTAAAGACAAATACATTTTTTAAATTAGTGTTCATTGATTAGTGTTTATTTTTATTGATGTCATAAAGATCACTTTGTTAGTGAATTCGTGAAAATTTTGTCGATTATCACTTTTTCTAGATTTAAATACGAGCCATTCAGAATCAAGTTGTAACTATCAATACTATACGTCCCGCAACGAGATAGGTGGCCAAAAAATACTCTATGCTGTGACATCAATTTTCATTATTTTCCGTAGAAAAATTTAATTTGAAAGTGTACTGGAAGATAGTTTGGAATAGAAACAGTATGTAGATGTAGAAAATTTGAAAAATTGTCCCCACTATTCCAGCCATTTTATATGATCGAAAAACCTTCAACAAATGCGTTTATTTTTATACCAATCTGTAATAGTCTAGATTCAAAAATCAGTTAATAACCAACGAAACAAGTAATTTTGGTATAATAGGATTCGAAATTCAGAAATCATACGCAAGTATAAACATATTAATACAAATCAATGTAAAATATCGAAACCAAGTTTCAAAAATTCAAACTATATAGTTTCAGAAAGTCATGAGAGCTTGTATTATTACTGCAAAAAATGATAGCACATTTGAAAACCCACATTATTCGAAAAACATATTTACTCAACTCCAAGATAGATGTGTTTATAAACAACATACTTAATATCCTTAAATATTCATAAAGAAAATAGTTCGAGTATTTCAATCCAGAAGCTCAAAAAACACTGGTTTGCAGATCAAATGTTGTTATAACCAAAACGAGACTGTTCTGAGAGTAAAACTCTATGTTGGCAATGCCGAGAGTACTCATGTATTTGGTGGGAAAAAGCAAAACCGTTGGTATTTGACAGTACAACTGTCAAAGTCAATTGTCATGATATAAAAACAGAACAAACTGTGATTTGTCTTCATTTTCCCGCTTTCTTAGTTGTGAGAAGTGTTTAGTATCGAATAACCGGCAACCAAAAGAAATTAAATAATGTCTGGACGAGGTAAAGGTGGAAAAGGAAAAGCAAAGGCCAAGTCCCGATCAAATCGGGCTGGACTTCAGTTTCCTGTAGGAAGAATCCATCGGTTACTGAGAAAAGGTAACTATGCTGAACGCGTTGGAGCTGGTGCTCCTGTTTACCTAGCTGCTGTGATGGAATATTTGGCTGCTGAAGTATTGGAGTTGGCTGGAAACGCAGCGAGAGACAACAAAAAGACAAGGATTATTCCTCGTCATTTGCAATTAGCCATTAGGAACGATGAAGAACTTAACAAACTTTTATCTGGCGTTACCATAGCTCAAGGTGGTGTTCTTCCAAATATCCAGGCGGTTCTACTCCCGAAGAAAACTGGAGGTTCTAGCTCGGGCTCAGGAGGAAAATCTTCAAAATCCCAATCACAAGATTACTAAGTTGAGTGTAAGATACATCAACGATTTTGTTTTTATTTGTTTCAATGTCTGTCCCATTTGTATTCATTATATAATAAATGTTTTTTATTAACTTTATTTTGTTATCAATCATTTACATTCACATACTCCATTCAGTTGTAAGACATTGAATAATATATTTTCTGTGGCAATATTCATGCTTGTTTCCTTAAGTGTTTAGATTTAATAAATGTTCACCAGGACAGATTCTTGCAACTTCAAACTCATGACCTGGACACCTCAAAATTATTAATCTTGTGCTCAAACTAGACATTCTTCAAAGTAAACATATTAAGTTCATTCGCCAATATTAAGTAATGTTTTAAGAATCTTTAACGCAGTGTAATTTAACATTGACTTTGTGTTGAAATTTTAAAGTGGTAATTAGGGACATTCCTATCCAATGCACAAACAGAAAACAAAATTTAATGTTGATGATTGAAATAATGGAATATTAGTGTTCACAAATTTTGATTTGTGCATTGGATAGAAATTGCAAAAATTTTTCAAGTTGTAATTAGAGCAATTTCTATGCATTGTACAAATAGAAAACAAAATTGAATGTTTGTGCAAAAAATAATGAAATATACTACATTAATTTTTAGAAGACAGTTGAAATATCTGTGTGCCTAGATATCTTGGAACAGTCAACTTTTAGTTGAACATGAATAGAATTTTTTTCATAGAAGCTCTATAATTGCTCAACTTCAGAAAAAAGAACATACATTTATTTGCATTAAAACAAAATATTTTCAGTATTTTTATGAAAAATACTGACCCAATTCAGAAAAAAAGTATGTGTAACAAAAGACGAAACAAATAAATGATTACAATCTGTGGGTGGTCAGTGGCCTTCGTTCAAGTTTGAGATCTTTCTGGATGAATTGTGTTTTTCAGTTTTGTCTTCAATATATGAATTTGTGTAACATTCAAGGTAAGAATCGTCAAAAAATATGCTATAAAATATTCCCTTACTCAAAATAATTGTGAGTATCTTGGAGAATATAAAAGAAATTTTAGATTTAACCCCAGCAGAAAAAAAAAAGAAACAAGGGTTTCTACTTCCTTCTTCATCACTAATCTGTTTTCACAAATGGATAGTGTTCGTGTGTATAGAGCTTCATCTCCATTGACCAACGTTGCTACAAAATATCAATACAACCCTCTTAAAAAATGGTTACCAGGTATTTGTCTGATTTGAATTGTAATATTTTATATTATCATGATTCCAGCCTTGAAAACTCCAATATTTGAGCTTACACTATACCAAATAACTCAAAGACATTGATTAATTGACATATTGAGAAGTCTCTATAAGGTGAAAGATGTAATTCATATAATTTCCTTAAAATTAACTCTCATTAGTGGTATAATGGTCAGGTAAACTGTATAATTTTTACTGCTCCAATCCCCATAAACTGATCATTGCTGAAATGGGGGTGGATCAAAAGAAAGAAGTTTCCAGTTTTTGTTAAACTTAGAAAGATTGTACCAAGGGAAGAAGTTAGGATCTCTGTATACAGGCAATCAGTAGATTTGAAAAACGGAAAATATCATTGGTAGAACAAATAGTTCAGAAAATCATATTAGAAATGGGGTATATTCGTCATTTCTTCAAAACAATGAAAGGCAGATTGCGTCAACATTCCAATAAAACCATGGAAGTGAATGCAGTACAGAAGGAAGGAATGAGTTCAGTTTTTAGAAATTCAGTTGTTTTCTTGTGCCACATAACTTTTATACTTCTATTGGAGTTAAAAATGAAATGTATATCAATTTCAATAATATGCATTAAAAGAATTTGACTGTGCTTATTAGGCGAAAACTTATTGCCTTTTCGAGCATGAACAGGTTGAAATATTGTGGGTATGACTGATCTTTGCTTTACTAAAATTTCAACTTTTGACCAATGTTTCATTCCAGTTCAAGACCCCTAGTTAGGCACTCAATGGTATTGAATCTGTTTCAAATCTGTTTTTTCGTTAATCAGATGTCGCCCCCATACGAACAACAACTCTCAGAAGTTGAAAAACTTGTTCGAGCTAAAGACTAACGAGGTCTTGCCTTTTAACGTGTGATTCAGCTTCAGCCAGATAAATTCTCTCGGGAAAAATATCTGGTCGAGGCAGGAATCCAACCCACGGTCTTCCGATCGTGAGTCGGGCGCACTACCACCGCGTCCAATAGAATTGAACTTTTTGATCACCTGCTAGTATTACTTTTTTTATTTCTATAATTAAAAAATCCTTCTAAAGAAATTACGGTTCACAATAGATTCAGAAAAGTAGCTTCTTGTTCATATTGCCTTTTATATACTTATGGAGTATTTCGATGATGCTTTTGACTTGATATATTTCAATGAACCCTTGGACATAAAATTCTTGTGCATTTTCAAATGAATGACCTTATACATTTGTTTATTTTGCCAATTACCTTCTGTCTGTTTATGCTCGCTATATTTCAAATCGTCATTTTTATTTACATCATTCAATTTACATGTTTTATGAAAGATATTCGCCAGTAGACTATTAATGATTGTAAAACTTTTGTCTATAAGATGTAATTATCTTCATGCGACAAAGTATTTATTCCATAAGTCATTATTACTTATCTAATATCACAACATAGGTACTCTATGAACAAAAAGTATAAATGCCATTCCATGTCACCCTTCAGGGTATGCTAAGGGGCGGAGCTCCATACATGTGAACAATACTCCAAAGAAGGCCTGATCTGCGCTTTACAAAGCATTAAAAGTTGCTAAGGTTTGTACATTTTTCTGGTTCGGAACAGTGTTCCAAGCTGTTGAGAAACAGCCTTTGCAAATCCAGCGACATGATTGTGCCAAGATATATTGCCATTTTAACCCCCAACAAACTCATTGAAACAGAAAGCGATCCAAACTTACAGTAATAACTAGTGTTAATGAACTTCATCAGTGGATAATGATATGAGATAACCCTGCGGCACACCATGTATATTAGTTTTGGACTCTGACCTCTCATTACTGACTGCAACAACTCGACAGCAGTTTTTAGAAGAACAACTCCTCTCAAAACATAATAATAATTCAGCTTCTGAAGAAGGATGTAACGAGAGACAGAGGCTTTTGACAAGTCACATAGTCTTACTGATATATGATGTCCTTTGTTAATCAGATTGACTGTCTCCTACACTCATCACTGCACGAGTAGTTCTTTCAAAAACCAAATTGATAATCATCGAACTAGTTAGTCGTCTCGAATAACTAGTTCGAATATACAGATTACCGATATTGGATGATGGTTACCAACAAGTGATTTGTCACCCTTCCTGTGAATTGGAATAACTTTTACATAAACTGAAAGGAATGTATTTTTAGAACAGATTGATTTTTGGGAAAGAAAGGTTTTGACTTTATACTTCTCCAACTTTCTACAAAAAGAGAGAATCTTCTACAGAAAAGCAAAACAGTAACTCTATACAAAGATGTGTCGATAATGTAAAGAAGTAACTCTCATACAAACATTGAATTACACGAAAGAAAAATACTTTCGAAACAAATACTTTCATATGAACACTGAATTACACAAAAAAAAACACTCTTTCATCGATGACAGTATGTCATGACATTCATTCACTTATTTGATTGAATTCCAGCCAAAGGAATCTTTTTAATTTGAAAGGGGTATATTTTTAGGAGATTTTGATTTTTGAGAAAGATTTTGGCTCTCTACTGGAAGAAAAGCCCTCTCGAAACAGCTACTTTCATATTAAACATTGAACTACACGAAAGAAAAATACTTTCGATGGAGAAGTAGAAAGCCAAAACATTTCTTTCACAAAATCTTTTACATATTCAAGTATTTCCCAAAAGACTAAAGTTAATAAAATAAAGTAGTAAAAGAATGTCAATGGTATTTTTTGATATTCAACTGTTTAAATTGTAAAAATGTGTACATTTCAAATTCTTCAAAGAGTTTAGTGTCCAGTACTTCTTGAAATGTAACTGGTGCAAAAAAATACGTTGAGCTGTAAATTTTTTGAATCTAAGTAATTCAGAGCAGTAGAGAGTTGATTATATTTTCTTCGATTCCTACAGAAAATTTAATGAAGTCATCTGGAGCTTTATCTTCCAACTTTTTTGTATTGTTCTCACTATTCACTTTTTAATCCTTAACAATGGGAATATACTTCCCTACCCTTTAAACCTCGTGTCATTTGTTCACGCCAAGAATTGTCAATTTCAAAACCTCCTGAGATTCTATTGATAACGAAATTACTTTAGAGTTTCATTGGTTTCTAGCAAAACAATTATTTGTTTTCAACACATCATTATTGAGGTTAGGGTCACATAAAAAACAGCACAGTTGATCAAATCCAACAACTTTCATTTACGTGGACTGTTAAAAAAATAAGGTGAATGTTCAAATTCCGTGGGCTACGTACATCAAATTAGCGTTTTTCTTTTTTTATTTTAGTACTACCGTCTCGATCATATATTTACAGTTTCAGCTCTTTACCATGTTTAGTTTGTTGGTCAGAGGCACAAAGGTTTTGCGTGTTTGGCGACCTTCTGCCATTGAAACAAATGGATCAAAGAATTTCCTTCAAATTTTGTGTAAAAAATGGAAGAGCTCAGAAACGCCAGGAATGTAAACAATGGCACACAGTGATTGTACGAGTAGTCGGAGTCAGAAAAATGTTTACAAGTAATACAAGCTTTTCACAGAAAGCCAGGGATATGTGAATGATGACGCTTGTCCTGATGCCCCAGCACATCAAAAACCAACGTCAAATTTCGAATAAAACTAAAAGGGAGAATAGAGAGTGTATATGGAATTGACTGAAAACAAAAACAGTAAATTAGGCAGAATAAATTTTGAAATATATTAAAAAATCATATTTGACAATCTACAATGCTTTCAAAGCTTCCTGAAGTTGCTTATGTGCTGACTCTGTAACAGGTTGCAAATAGTTTTTGAGTTACCACAATTAATTGGATTATTTTATTATTCCTTTCTTTAGTTGCACAAATGAAAGATATTTTACAAACTTCAACAAAATTACAACAGTTAACACAACATAGGATTACTATATGAAATGAAATACTACTACTCAACAACCGATAATGTATTTACTTGTTACATGAACATATTTTATCACTAGATTGATTGGTTTTCTACGTGACTCGAGATATCAAGTTTAAGGGTTGACACAAAATGAATGAATCATAATTCTGGATGAGGACAAGTTTATTGATTCGCAATCTGTTACTTATAAACTATCTGCATGGCTCAGAGAGCATCATATACCATCCACTGGATCAGCTTCATCTGCTGAACTAATATCATCACCGAATTCAATATCTTCATCAAAACCTTCCTCAACAAAGGTGACAGTTTCATTGATCCTAACTGATTCAGGGAATTCTCCGTAGGTTTTGAGATTACGTGCTTCATCAGGTGTATACTTCAGAATAACATCAGCTTTGGCATCTTGGTAGTCTCTCAGCCCAATAAGGATAATGTCACTTTGATTTATCCAAACCTGAAAACATTGAAACAAGAAAGGTAAGTTTGAATTTTTTTATTACCATAAAATAAAAGAAAATCTACCATAGTTTGTTCTGTGAAAACTAATGGAAAATGAATTATGCCTCAGCATTCTTTATTAAACTGCAAGATTCATTTGAGACAGCAAAGATGTGCATGAATACCATTTAATATTATATAAATGAGAGAAACGTCAAACATAATTCTTATCCAGTGTTAGCAGCTTTAATTCATGGAGAATAAGGCTATAGTCATGACCAGCAATGAGATTTAGATCAAACCAATAATCACAATATCTCAAGAATTTACTTTGTACTTTCTTGAGTAATAACTTAGGAACATTATAGTATGGTGACACACATTCAAGTTGTGACCTGACCAACCAATTTACACTGACCTCACATCTTCGAGAGACAAGATCTCTACAAATCCTAACATTCTTTGAGATGTAACCACTAATTGATTAATATACTCGATGAAACTTAATTGAGAATCAAAAAATATTCCCAAATTTTCAACTAGTTCTTAGTTTAAGCAAATGACCATCAACCGAATAAGAGGGTGGGATCTTAATTTTCCTTTTATTAAAAGAAATCTTGAAACAATTTTCAACATTTAAATCTAACAAGTTTAACTTACACCAATGATGATAATGATAGTTCAACAAGAATTCGTTAATCATTTTAAATTTCTGATATTAAAAAATAATGAAAGTATTTTGATATTCTTGAAATTTAGTATTTTAAAAAAGTGTCCCCATTTAAAGTAGACCATACATAAAAACAGTATGATGAATTTATAAATCAAAATAAACTTTAATACAAAGTATTTCATCACATCGAACTTGAGTTAGACGTTTGAGGGGAGGGAATGGAATTATCAAAAAATATTCGGTATCAATGTTTCAGGGGTCTTTTATAATATTTTCCAATATACAGGGTCGCCAATAGAAGCATGGCATATCATTAATCAAAATATTTAAAACTACAAAATTGTAGTATTGGTGAAATTTATGGGAACATATACAATAGACTCCTAAATAAAGTTATATTCTATAAGGTCTTTCTGAAATTATATTCATAGCTATTTATACCTGGAGCACTAATTAATGTTAATATTAATATGTGCTTACTTTCTTTCGAAGTTTTCCTCTGATATGACATAACCTCTTCACTCCATCAAAGCACATTGCCTCTAATCTACCATTTCCCAACATTTTTGTCACTTGTGCATACTCCTGGCCATCTTCTTTGAACACTAACTCACGTTTTTCTGTTTCATTTTCATTTTTACCCCTTCTACGATTTTTACCTCCTTTACCTGAAATGATAGGATATTATTAGAAGTGAATAATCACAAATACAACTTCAAATAACTGTTAGAAAAAACATTTTTTTTACAAAAACATTCACTGATGAAAGACTATGATGGAAATACTATAACAAATATTATTTTCCACCATGAAAATGTCGACATTAGGGTTTTATGATAACTACATATGCCAAACAAGTTATTTGATGCATTTATTGTAAATAATCCAGCATATTTGGGGGCACCTACCTTTATTTTTCGGCATTTTTCTTTGTTGAAAGGTAACACTTTAATTTGATGTCCTCTTATCAATATTTTCCAAAATATTCAAAGAAAATGTCACTGACCACTTCGACCACTTTCTTGACAATCGCTGAAAGAAAATGAACCATACAACAGCACAGAACCAAAATATCATGGAATTGAAATAGAGAATTTGTCAGCATAACCAACTGAAATTCTGTTACCTCAACTTACTCGAAATCAAGGGAAGTGAAATATTTTGTTTAATAAAGAGTGCTCTTCATTCGTGAGGACCGTAATCGGTAGAATAGTAGACCATCGTAAATGAGTTTTATTTTTTGAACACTATGAGGAGCATAGAAAGCTCATTGGCAATGATTATGCTTGACTCAACAGGCATAAAAACCCGGGTGCGATCAATAGGGAACACGCATGTATTTTTCCGAACAATTGATGTGCTCATCTGATATCTCAAACAGTCAGAGAAATTTTTACAAACTTCTTTATCTTTGGAATATTCAAATACAAAAATAGCCTACATTTTGAACTCAATTCGACCTTAAATCATTGGAATAACTTTCCTCTTGATCCATGAATGATAATAAAAACAATCCTAAGATATATTACAACTGAAACACTTTCATTGTGATAAATTAGTACTTATATAGAAGTAACGGTCAATTTGTCCACAAGATACCACCGAAAATACATTTTAAACGGATTTCAAAATTGGGCATTCGAAATTCTGTATTCTGAAAAAACTGTAGTGTTATATTAGGATACTCGAATTGACAACAGTTGGGGTGTTTTCAAACAACTTCATAAAATTTTCCATAAACTCTGAAATGATATAATAGAATGTCAGAATAATTTTGAAATATACGATAAATGTATTGAACAACACTTACTTAAGTGATATATTTTCAAGGGTACATTATGAGCAGGTTTAAAAATTGGGCATTTTGAATTTTGTATTATGAAAAAATGTACTTTTTATTTGTAAACAGTGTTCACAGTTTCATTGGTGGAATCCACCATCTACTCATTGAAATCAAAATATCTTAAAACCTAGGTGAAATATTTCGGAAAAAACTCTCCCATTGTTCGAATATCCCGTTGCTTTACCTCATCAGTGATATTGAAAATCATGGAGACGGCTCAAGACATTCTTGAATATTTGGAATGTTTTAACATTTGGAGCGTGGTCATCAATATGATTGCCAGAAGCAAAAATCAACAGCCAATCTTCTTATATATAATAACTTCCATTGGAATGTTGCAGTCGAGGTTCTGGTGCCATAAGTGCCATTGATGGTTCTCTTTGGTTATCTCTAAATTATTTCACCATCAATGCTAGTGTTCCTCACAGACCTATTTTGTTTTGAACTGATAGTCTGCTGATCAACGATCTACCGCAAATTGAATATTTTGCAGGATTCTTCACAGAAAAAATTCCTGCATATGCTTTTGGCGATACAACTGCTGGAATAGATTTTAAATTATTGGAACACACTTGTAGACTGGTTTCGGGCTGTTTGGCCATTCGTCAGTGCAAGGTAGTGTCCTACATCAACACGAAGTCGATGATTTCCCATAATTAAAAGTCAAATTCTTTCAGAGTTCAATACATACCTCCAACCATATTAGTTATCTACCTTTTTATAATAAATAGTACCGGTAACATTCGTTATTATTGTGCATATATCTGCGATAATTGAAAAAATAGCAGTAAGAAACTTTTCTCACTTCATTCAATTTTGTACATTGTCTTTAAATTTAATTTGAATTTTACACCGATCTCAATGAAATACTTTTAAATAACGCGCCAATAATTTAGAGTATTTTTTTCTAATTTTCACTAATTTCGATGTGGCAACACTGTTCTTCTGGTTGAGTATTTATCTGTAGTTGAATTTTATTCGTGTCAAAAATGGAGTCCTATCCTGACGTGCAAGAAAACGAATCCTGTTCAAAAAGAATTAAACTAGATTTTTGCGAATCTAATATTGGTGAATTGTGCAACGGAGAAGGGTTTTCTTGTTTTTCCACATCGTCAGCGGGCCCGATTGACATCTCTGAAGGTAAAATTTGTAAAATATGTTTGGTCATTTAGGGTATTTTATTCATCCAATATGGCGACGAAAAACAAAGGCGAAACTGCGGACATTTTGTAGGCGTGGTACACTTGGATTTCAAAAAAAAATCATAAAAGAAGTATCTGATATTTTTTTAAGAATTAAAATTTGAAGATAAGTAACTTTCTTTGAATGTACCTACTGCAAAACCCTATATTTAAAGCCAAATCTTCAGTACCTTATTCAATAACAATAAATAATAAATTACATGACAAGAAAATATTACTGCTTTTCACTCTTTTCAATCGCCAGCATGTGAAAAGCACGCGTACTTGCATTTTAAGTGAGAAAGCAATAATTCAATTCCAATGCATCTCTTATTTAAAATGTTTTAATGAAAGAATGTTGAATATTGAAGAATTACAGAAATTTTCAAATTATGTTCATTCTTAAGATGAACCTCTGAAATGGTTTTTTTTGGTCAAGTTTTAGAATGGAGGTGAGGAACTATTTTTTTGTTGAAATTTAAAGTATTATTTTTGATATGTTGAATATATTTGGATTAAATTGGATATTCTGAGAAAATTATTTTTCTTGGTTTGGATGGTGTTAGGATATGCCAAGTGAAATTACTTGGGATATTTTTTAACAATTTTATAAAATTTTTCACAAACTCTGAAATGCGATAAGGGAATAGTAGTTCAGTTTTGAAATATGTGATAAAATCTCCGAATATGCGATAAATCTATTGAATAACACTTTAGTACCTATTTTCACTAGCAGCTCACAAAAATGTAACATGTATATCACTATACAATAATTAATACTAAATTATTATTGGACATGCATGAAAAAGCTATTTTATAGTGAAATATTTATTCCAGTTTTATGAACAGCTATGGAAATCTCACAGTGAATTGTTCAATTTGAAAATGTTAAACATATTGGATAAAGTGAGTAAAATTGACAATTTTCTTCGATTATTTGCACAGTGCTTGGAGCATTTTCTGAAAACGAAGTGGATAAAAATGAGTCCGACCTGCCGAGTAAATTCTCCAAATGCCGGAAAAACTTGAGAATGTACCTACATGAAAAAAGTGAGAATTTGCTCGCATGAGAATATTCTCCATTTCTTTTGCTGTATTGTATTTGTTGATGTTTAGACTCACGCAGAGAGCTGCTGACACTGGACCTTGGCTCGGTTTAGGTTAATAAGATTAGGTTGAGTTGTCAGGCACACAACATGTCATTGAGTGATTAGGATTGTGCACACTAAGTAGAAACAAAGTTTGACAGGGCTTCGTTTGTGAAATTTGTTGCCAATAATAAATCTGTGCTTGAGAAATCGAAGGACCCGTCTGTGATTACAGCAAAAAAGAAGCGTGTCGGGCTATAAATGTGAAGGATAACTGCGTCAGTGGTCTTGGAACTGTCTCTTAAGAGAGGGAGAGAGAGAAAGATAAAGTTTGATATCATAAGACAAACATTTCTCTGCTAAGATGTAATGTATAATTTATAATATTACTTCCTTGATTGACAACTTGTTTATTTTGTGGAAATTCATGTTCACTGTGGATATTGTCTATACCTCGAATATCCATGAACATAACATAACAAAACAAAACTTTTGATATAATGTTGGTTTTGGGAATTGGATTATAGGTTCAGGAGAGGACTATTGTTTAGATCAAGTTGTTCATTGAGGACAATAGAATTGGGCTCTTTCTTTGACCTGTTTATTTCCATAGATTCCAACAGATTTATCATTTTCCCTTTTTCGCATGTGTGGAGGATCTTTAAAAATTATCTTTATCTATTTTATATTTCGAATTTTGAAGATGTTCGTACATTAATGATTTTTTATCCGAAATGACATGTTCATGGTACCTTATATCAAAATTTCTACTAGTTTGGCCTGTATATATGGCGGAGCATTCACCACATTCTAGGTGAATGCCAGATCTCTTCTCTTTGTATTTAATGCCAAACCTAAATTAGACAAAGGGAAGAGATCTGGTATATATCGACTAGAATGTGTTGAATGCCCCGCCATATATACAGGCCATGTCATTTCGGATAAAAAATCATTAATGTACGAACATATTCAAAATTAGAAACATAAAATAGATAAAGATAATTTAAAGATCGTCCACACATGAGAAAAAGGAAAAATGATGAATCTGTTGGAATCTATGGAAATAAACAGGTCAAAGAAAAATCCCAATTCTATAATCCTCCTTGAACAACTTGATCTAAACAGTGGTCCTCTTCTGAACCTACAATCCATTTCCCAAAACCTACATTATATCAAAAGTTTTGTTTTGTTATGTTCATCCATATTCCAGGTATTGACCTTGTTGGTACCAAATTATTTATGATAGGATAGGCAAGGAAGTTTTAAATCACTCAGATTTAAATGTAATCTAGTTAGTTTAAAAAAATTTGTAATGGCCGAAACTAGTCAACAATAAAAACATATCGTGGAAAATAGACAAAAGTGTGTTTTTGTAGTGTATCCTCAGTATATAATATTAATAAATTGAGTACATATACACATGTACACATACATACATCAGCACATACTCAAACAGTATGTTTGTTAAAAACGTAAGCTTGTACATGGGTAAAAATAAAATTGAGTACATAATAAACAGACACTACAAAGAGAAAGAAAAAAATACATATATGAAGTTTATGTGTCGAAGTTATCCTCAAAAAATTCATCTAATGAATAGTAAGCCTTTTTGATAAGAATTGCTTTCAAGTTTCTCCTGAAAGATAGTAGCGTGACACATTCTGTTGAATTTTTATGTAACTATTTTCACTAGATGACATACAAAGGACCATCACCACTTTACTTTTGTTTGTGGAAACCATATTAATGATTGCTTAAGGTTTTGGAAGTATTCCAAATGTATCAGTATTTATTGATTGTTATATCTTGTTATAATTTAATTACGATACGTTTAGTGGTGAAGTAGTTGATGCCTGTCATTGAAAATAAAGATCGTTAAAGAAACAAGAGTCTATTTTTGATTTAGCATTGTTTTATATGAAATAAGACCGATAATTTTTGATAAAAAATAAGGACAAATTTTATAACTGATATAATTCGTCCAAATATAATTGCCTAATTTAGATTCTAACTCTAAAAAGTCCTCGATCAACTTGAAACTTTGTAATGAAAATCAGCTGAATAATTTTTGATAAAAAATAAGGACAAATTTTATAACTGATATAATTCGTCCAAATATAATTGTCTAATTTAGATTCTAACTCTAAAAAGTCCTCGATCAACTTGAAACTTTGTAATGAAAATCAGCTGAGTGTTTTTTGGAATGTATATGAGTTGAAGTTATACTTTTAAACTAATAATAGAAGCTTTAACCAACGATGTGTTCGCAGAATTTTGCAAACTGAATTATTGAAGATTTCGTTCACTTTATTCTCCATCTTGTAAACGTGGTAAAAATAAACTTTTTTTTCTAGAGTAGGTTAATACATTAGGTAAATGACATACTAAAATCATAATACAATCCAACTGACTGACATAAAGCAAACATGTGGGAGACAAAAATACAATTGACAATAATATCTTTAATTAGTAGTATAATATAAAAACAACAAAAATTACAAATTAATTGGCGCTCCGGGGCGACTTCATTGATTCCAGTGGCACATTTGCTTTTTCAGCTGCAGGAAAACCCGGAAAAACCTGCAGCACCACATTATCTGAAGATCTTGCTCTGCCAATGTCCTCTCTCTCATAAAACAAAATGTAGGGTGTCTCCAGAGGCTCCAATGAATTCAATACTTCGCCAGAACACTTCGTGACACGACTATAGTGAAACTTAAACCAGTCCGTTTCGTTTTTGACCAAGGCGTAATGATGACCAAATTCAACGCCATAACCAGAGCGAACAATGACTGCATGAATATTATAATAGTGGTCTGCTAGATTGAAGTGTTCATCTATTTCGAACCTTCGAAAGAGTTTGGTGCTTCCGTCAGAGGTTGAGTCATGTTTGAAGATCATCAGTGTTATTATTAGATTGACTGGTGCCTCAGCTATACTTGTTTTCTTATAACAGTCGGTTAGTTTGGCGCATGTTTGGCAATACAGTCGATCATCACCTGTTAAAAATTCCATTTTCAGATGATTTAACAATAAGCTTTGCACGGACTGGTTATTAGTCATATCAGGAAACGCTAGATGAAGTTCCAGAAATTCACAAACGTTTTTGCTACCTCTTGAACATCTACTACAAAGTAAACAAGTGAGTATTTTTCCAGTAAAAAAGATTTACAAACACAAGACGAGCTAGACTGTATGGAATCATTCAATCCAGAGCGGCCAGGGGTATTGATTCTGCTATTGTTTTGCCCAGGAAGAGTATTCAACAAGAACCCCAACAATTCAGAACACTCCCCTTGTTGTCCTAACGAGTATCTAGTGGACTTCAAAGACTCTAGGAAATCGGTTGGAGGGAGAGATGATATATTTAATCAGAGCATTATTTTGACACTGAAACAGAATGTTGAAAAAAGATTTCAAGTATTTTGTTTTGATGTACTCATTTCAAAAGATGAGTGTCTTTTTGAAAGTCTTATGTAATCGATTTAAGACGAATTAACTAAATATTATAGATCCCAAAAGGACCCCAAACTACATAAAGCAACTGCTAATATAAAAGGCTTCGTTTCTCACAACTTTCATAAAATTATGTTCGCTGATAGACACAGTACGCTTCTGTTTCTATAATAGCAAGGAAGATTATATCAGCAACTCTTTAAACTTCATTTATCGATTAGTTATTTTTTTGTTTACATAATTTGTTTCTATCTTTAAATGTTATGCTGAGAAGTTGGATGACCATAAAGTTACTTTTTTCATCTAAGAATATAACACCAAAGAATTTGTTAGTAAGTTAAATGATTACTTTCCATCCTATATTGTCTGATAACTTATTGAGTTGAATTAATAGAAATACTCTAGGCCTACACAA